GCTTTATGTCTTGAAAACCACCCTTAAACTCATAGTTCGCCATCCTTCAACTCATTCCCTTAAGTTTAAAGCAACATCATTTCCTTGAATACCGAGAGGTCTTAACAACTTGGAGTACTTCTCGAAACCAAGTAATCTTTTCATTTCCACTTAATTAAACCTCACTATCTTTTATTTCTATCTGCATGAAAGTTCGGTAAAACTTATTTTGAGTTTGCTATCTCAAATGTCCCTCAGATAAGATTGGGTGTCTTCACAACTTGTTCGTTCCCATTGACATGGTAAAATCAACTCTTTCCAGTACTTATCATACAAACTTTCATTCCCTCTCAAATTCTCAAGACACATTTTGCCTTTATACAACTTGCATAGCTCTTTAACTCAACCCTCAAAGCTTTGGGAATTGATCTCCCTTTGGTGTTTAGATGGTTTTCACTCTTTAACACTATTTAGTTACACCTTCATCCATTACAGGATTATTGGTGGTTATATCATCCTTGGCAATCTATCAAGTTTGCCATACTACTTTGTTCAAATCATTTCTATTACTAGAATTGTTTCTTGTCATCATACTTTCTTGATGATAAAACTGGATGCTATATAGGTTAGGTTGAAACACCTAGCTTTCTCCTGTTCTAATCGAAACATCAACCAATAAACTCAATCAGGGAACAATTATTATTTAATTCGAATTAAGGTTTGAGGTAACATATTTTTGTCCTCATATCTAATAATTCAAATGCATAAAATTATGATTGATAAACAATCATAGTTCATATAATTAAACAAGAAATCAAAAATATAAATATCCCCATGACTGCAACCCAAAAGGAGAGAGAGAAATGAGTAGCTCTTGGAAAACAATAGAAATCATTAGGTCATTGAACAACTCTAAAAGAGTAGGTGAATAAGTTCAAGAACTCTCTTCAAAATGATAGCTTTGCTATGACTCCTTAATGTAAGATAATTATTTTCATATCCCAAGGTTAATGAGTAAATACTCGTAACTTTTAGATGATATGTGTCAATATTCTCAAGGTTCGACAAAACAAAAATCCTCAATATTCCAACAAAATCATGATTTCTCAAGACTCCCATCATATATTAATATATATATATACTCAATTCTCCATCCCAAACTAAATAACTTTAATCATAAGAAATGATAAGTCACTAAGCTTACAATGTCAAAATTCAATTGATCCGCATTGAGTATCTCTCAACTCATATAATAACTTTCATCATTACTCATCTCTAATCAATTCCTACGCTCACCTCTCTTGAGCTCTTGTTCAATTTCGATTCCAATTCAAACTCATACTCAAAGACAAAACATATTCCTCTGAATAGATAATATCCCAAATGATTTTATCCTTAAGCTCCTTAACCATATGCATTAAAATCAATCTCTTTATCCTAATAACTTGGTGTCTCCATACACAAGTGTACAAACTCAAAAACTCATTCTAATAACTAGACAAGGTATCTTAACAACATGCTATCCCAAAACACAATACTCACTCCCATGTGATGATGTGTATCCCAAGATATCTTCCAAAATACCTCTCTAATAAAAAAAAAATTGAAGCAAACAATCCTAAAATAAGCAATTGAACTCTCAAAATCCTTAACATTCCTCAAAATTCTCATTATAGAAACTCACAGGGTATAGGTTTAGGGATCCTACAAGAAAAAGGGATTGAATACCAAAAGAAAACCCTTCCCATAACAATATAATACAGTTCTTGCAGAAGATTAAGTACGGTGTTCAATCATACAATCTTAATAGCTCACATATAATATTTCACATATTGCATGCTTTCATCAATAAACATTTAGTCATACAATATGCTTGAACACCTCATATAAAAATATGCACATAGGGAAGAAATTAAATTCTAGCCTATATGCCCTTTCTTCTCCTACCCAAGCTCACCAACATGCTAATAAAAGCTTTTAACACATATTTCTTACCGCAATCCTTGCTTTTCTGCAAAAAACACAAACTAAAAATATTTTTGATTCCTCTTTTTAAAATAAAATTTGAAAATAAGCTTCGAAAAAGGGCCAAAATATTCGGCCATCACAAAAAAATTCGGGCATACCATAAAAATTTCGGATGTCCAAACTAAAAATTTTGGACCTCGTAAAAAAAAATAAATAAATATTTTGGTCCTCTTAAAATCAAAATAAAATAAAATAACTCGCTTTTAAAACTAATTTATTAAATAAGCACTTGGCCAAGTTTTAAAATAAAAACTGTAAAAACACGTTTTTGGCTTTAGTGGTAATAAAAATCTCAACCAAAGCTCTGATACTACTTTGTAACACCCTAGAAATTCCTTTCCTTTAAAAATACCTATTTTACTCTTTAAAATACGATTTAGGAATATCTAAGACATTACCGCCACCGTGAGAACGGCTAAGGAAATTATCAAAGACACACAGCGGAAGACTTAAATCAAAACCATTCAAAACGAGTCAACTTAAAAGTCAACCAAACGAAAGTAAAGTTAAAACCAAAGTCAAATAAAATCAACCTACAACTTGGAACCATTGAAGGCCCTTATCAAAACCAATTTAATTACGAAAACCTTTGCGTTAGTCTCATAAGCGTAACATAATATAATATTTGAAAGCAATAAACCGCATCACAACTTATAGAAACTAGCATGATTCGCTCTTCACTCACTCCGTCATGAATATGCTTCAACACCTGAAAAGATTATCTCCACTTGTCCCCACTACTCTCCATTAAAAATGGGTCATCATAGGGCCAAGATAAAGACATGGCCAAACACACAAACACACACAATCAGCAAAGCTGAGTACATAAGCGTAATTAAACACACTAACATGCTTTCACCTATCAACACACACTTACCTCAATGCACCTGTTTACAAGCACACACAACAATCAACAAGACACTTTAACTAGACACTAAATAATTCATTTAGCGTTGATTACGCATCGAACGGGTTTCCAACTATACCTCCCCCAATAAATTGAGGTAAACTGACACGGGAGCTAACCGTGCCAGCGACAAACCTGTGCCACACATAGGTGGCGGAATTCCAGCGCATAATAATAATAAAAAGGAATATACAGCGTCCTGTACTCCGTTAGAAGTTATGATCAAATATAAAGTCACATAACTCCCCCCATATGTTCATACTCAAGGTATATACGTTCCTAGAGTTTGGTGCGTAATCTCTTTCACTTTACGTTATTTACATATTATTAGACTTGGTGATGACTCTCAAAGCATAACCATTCAATCATCAATAATTATTCAATCAACAAACATACCAATTTAATTCTTGAATATTTAGTGACCACATAATATTTAATGTTGAACCCTTTTTAATTCTACCTCAGTGTCAAAGACACTTTAAACGCATAAAAAACGCATAAAGTACCAAAAATCCTATCCCTCGGTGTTAAAAACACCTTAAGTGCACAAAGGCACCAACATACAATTTATTCCTCGTGTACATAGATACTTATATAGCTCCTTCCTCATGCTTAAAGCATCAATAAAAATTATATGAACCATAATAAAATTCCTTTTCAATATTCCAAACATAATTAAACAATTAGTTTGATTAAACATGCTCTCTATCAAGCCATAAATAAACATGTGGTTCATAAATAATATTCCAAACTATAATTTTCCATTCAATAACTCATCACAAGTAAATCATGCTTCTCAATTCAATCACTAATAACATCCAAATCACAAATTTCCATTCCAAACCTAGCATGATACTATTTTTTATTTAAGGAGGAGGGTGGAGTATTGTGATTGTGGAGGGAAATTTTCCCTCCAAACTTAACCCATTCCAACATTACATCCTTGAAAAAAAAACTAATGGAAACATGTATTTTTTTTTTTTTGGGCGGGCGGGGGGTAACGACAAGGGTACAACTTAATCATTTTTAGGACCTTGAGGTTACAACGTGGAGCTTTTAAAAGGGGACACAGCTTGGAAAAGTCAACACCTGAGGGTTACTGTGTAGAATTTCCCTTAAAGAATTAATTCTGGTATTAATCATATTTGAGTTCCGCTAATTCTTTGATTGGAAAACTACTCATGCATCTTAGCAAAATCAAGAACGATAATCAATAAAGGAAGCATAGTTAACAATAAAATAAATAAGAGGATTGACAAGAGAAAACAATATTTGAATTAAATTATGAATGCAATATTAAATCTTGAAAACAAAAGGCCTTAAAATTGATGTAGAAGAATATAATAGGAAAATTTTTAAAAATATTCACAACTTTTGCCGGTTCGTTCAAAATAATCCCTACTTTGGGTTATTTTTCAATAATCTCAACTTTAGGGGTTATTCGCTTTAAACAGTCCCAACCGATCACCCAACCTATTGTATCAGGTTACAGTGATGTACACGTGGCACCATGCAGTCGGTTGACTATTTTTTAAAAAAAAAATTATAAACAAATTAAAATAAAAACAGCCCACCCACGAAAGCCTCCCCTTCCACCACCGTCGGCTGCTTGCGGTGCCGCCAACCCTCCTTCCCGTCGACTCCGGCTCCCGGACTTTCCCTCTGTCACATCGGCGTCCAACCACCACCGCTTCCCTCTTCATTCCCCTTAATCACCCAACCTCCACCGCCAAAAAAAAAAAAAAAAAAAAAAAAAAAAAAAAAAAAACCAGCCTTACCGTCAAAACACCACAATCGATCCTCCCCCACCCTCAAAACCCTAGCAAATAGGGTTTCGAGGGTGGAGGAGGATTGATTGTGGTGTTTTGGCGGTGGGGTTGGGTTTATTTAGGAGTTAGGGTTTAGGTTAGGAGGTTCTGGGATTGTCGTTTTGGTGGTTTAGACGGTACTTTTGGTGGTTTAGGGGTAGAGAGAAGGGCGGCGACGGAGCTGGCAGTGGAGCGGCGGCAGTTAGGGGCAGGGGTACCTGGCTGGGTGGTAGGCGATGGCTCCAGGATTTCAAGGTTGGTGGATGGGTTTTCAATTGTTTTTTTTTTTTTTTTTTTTTTTTTTAATTTAGGTTTTTCTACATGATAACCCCAAATTATTGCGTTTTCTATGTTGTGCCCTTCTATATCCAAACTACTACATAGTGCCCACAAGTTTTATGTATTGTTTTATATATGCCCTTTATAAGTTGTTTTGTTAACAATAATTAACTTGTGCACTAGTACAAAAGTAATCTTAAGTAACATCCAAAAAGTGTTACATAAAGTGGTAAAAGTGTTATTATAGACAACAAGAAACACTTTATTGGGTGATACTTCCGCCTATGTTCCCTAAGGTCTTATGTAACACTTTGAATAACGTATGGTAACATTTTCCGAAGTGCTACCATAGACCTTCTAATGTATCTCTTTTCATATTATTAGTAATATTTTTAAAGTGTTACTTTTATAACTTAGGTATCACTTACTTATCTTTAGTAACATTTTTCAATCATATAGTAACACTTTATACGACATTATGTATCACTTTATCCAATCTAATGTAACACCTTAATAATTAATAGGTATTATTATTGTTGTTGTTGTTGTTGAAAATAATATTAATATGTAAAACAATGTAACCATGAAAGAGAAATTAACATAAATGGTAGACAATAATTTGAATTGAAATAATTTCATAATCTTACAAAAAAAAAATCCATAAACAACAATTTTTATGTTTGGTCAAACAATATAATAATCAAAACAAAAAAAAGAAAGTTAGCTTCAGTCTCTAACTTGGAAAAGCGAGGAAATATGAAAACCTCCAAATTTCAAAAAATAGTCAACGCCAGTATGGTAGTAGCTAGCTAGCAGAACGGCAACAACAGTAGCAGCAACTATAGATCAAACATCAATACTAACAGATAGCAGTATGTAGCAGCAAATAAACAACAGTAGCAGCGAGCAGTGGCAGCAAACAGTAGTAGCAGAGAGTAGTAGCAGCAAAACAGCAGTAACAATAAGTGACAGCAGCAGCAGTTCAACTAGCAGAAAGCTCCAAAGTTTTCAGTCTCGGGAAAAAAAGGAAAAAAAAAATTATCTCGATCTTGTATATGCAAGCACGCTTGTTGTAGCATCATTACTTGCTATCCCAATCCTTCATCGTGCTCCATTTGATCCTATATATGTGTGAAAGCATCATACATCAGATAACAAGAACAAAAATGAAATAATGCAATAATAAGAGCTAGTGCTTAGAATCCTTTCTAAGAGAGAATATATTAACCATTACCTCAGTTTTCTCTTGTTCATTATTAGAGTGTACATTGGGAAAATGATCATAATTTATTTGCTTTTAAGAGTGCTGGATGTGTAATTAGAAATGGTAGAGGAGGGGGATCTGGTTTAGAGGCAAAACTAAGAAGATAGGAGCTAGGAACCTGTAACGGATACATGAATCAAGGGCAATGGGCTGATTACTTATGCAAGAAGGAGGAGCAGAGGTCAGCAAAATGGAATGTCAGTACAAGGACAGCAGGGCAATCACTTAGCAGCAGGGCAGCCTCCAATTTGTGAGGAGCAGTGACAGCTGCAACAACTTTTGTTGTTTTCTCTTTTTGGCAGTTTATGTGTATATAACAAAGGGAGGGTAGGATGTGCTAGGTAGGCAAGATCATTGTAATTCCTAGGATTAGAGAGTGGTGCCCTAAAGGTGCTAACCCAGAGATTAGTAGCCTAAAGCTACCCTTATGCTTGTTATTTTCCTTTCAAATTAATCAAAGAGCTGCCTATTTTCCCCAAGAATTGATCTTTATTGCTTAAATCAATATTAATACAAACTAACATTAAGCAGGTCGTTACAGAACCCGACTCATTTTAAATTTCAGCTTATCATATGAGGGATGGAAGTTTGTTGTATAGAAGGGAGACTATGATGTAATCTGCCATCTAGATGTTGCTTCCTACAGAAGAGAGCACACAAGACTGAAGAATGTATGTGTACAGGGTTTGACACTAGTGTATTGTGCAAACCTTTCATTAATGAGTATAGAAAATTAGTCAAGCGTACCATGTGCCCACTGCCTCCTGTGAAAATCTCCTGTCAGATCATGCATTGTCATCTTGTAAATTAGCATGTGTTCATGTCAATTTAAACTAATTAAGTTAGGGTGTTCAAGCTATGATGCGTGACACCAATCTCAAATTTAATCATATCATTACAAGAAAACTTGAGGAAAGGTTGGGGGTGAGGTTTTTCAATTATAAGACACAATAGAGTCACTCAAGATCAACACTATTCAAACCTCAAAAGATGTGCACTACATACATTATATTATATACTTTCTAATGCATATCGTACTATTTTTGACTCGAAATATTCAAAGGCCTAAATATAATGACTACGCTACCGTTGGAAGAAACTCAAAGATGATATACACGACAATAAAATAAGAGATGATCGCAACATCATTATCTTGCTAGTAGTCTAAGGTGAATTAATCTTGCTAATACTCAAGCCTATCAGCTATAATCACGCAATGCAAAGATAAAAGTGCAATGAAATTGTGCCAATAGTAGAAATTTACCTTAGTGAAGCCGCCACAACTCACCTGCTTCCTGAGCACCTGGATACCACACATCTCAAACTAGCAAAATAAAGGTCAGAGTAAATTATGGATTAAGTTGATAAGATATCTAAAGATCTATGCCTTGAAATAGTCACACGACCTATAAGTTCAATTATCATTATTTAACTCTAATATATAGTAAAATACACAATCTTTGTTTCACTGGTCTCGTTATTGACCAAGCTGTTAACAGAAGTAGTGAACTAAGGGATTCAATCTCAAGTGAAAAGTTGTAGCGTGTGCGATAAAAGACACATTAACTGAAGTTATAAACATGTGTGACATGATATCTTTGATTGTTCAAGTCTCACTGCAACCCACACACTTACAATTTGGAAAGACTATAACAATAGCAATAATATATCCAATAATCTTATTCCCTTGAAATCTACATGTGGACATATATATATATATATATATATATATATATATATATATATATATATATATATATAATGCAATATATGAATATGGTTTTTTTTTTTCTGTTATTTGTAAAAGACTAAAATTAACTATGATGATTATTCAATAGTTGATTAGAGTTGTGTTCTCAAGTCCCAATGGGATTCAAAATGCACGACAACAAATACGAAATAGATATTACTAAAGCGAAAATAAAATTCAGACCCAAAATAAATTGTATAAAAGGCCAGAGATTGAATTCATCCATTTCACATACTACGGAGTATATCTGTTAAAATTTACAAATTCACGGCATTCTTAATGAATAATCGATGATTCTTAGGAAAGGTCGTAAAATCTAAGATCAATTATACGAAATATACAACATAGTTTTACAAGAAAATTCATTTACCAAAAAAAAAAGTGAAATTGTGAATACCAGATGCAAAATTTGCTTGTATAATATAGAATCCAATTAAAAACTAAACCCTATAAACTTGATTGTGATAATTTACATGAAAAGTAATGATTACATAACCAAATATATCAAAATTTCACCCAAAATAACAAGATACCTGAATCGCAAGCAAGAGTTCGATGAAATTCTAAATGACGATCGATTCGACGCTTGATTTTGTGATGAAATTCGCGGGATAACTAGGAATTAAACTGGTAAAACCTAAGATTGTCGTTGCTGAAGGAGGAAATAAGACTTGAATTAATTGAGAGGTAGAATTTTTTTTATTTGGGGTTTTCCTTTTTTTTGTTGGGTGGGGGGGGGGGGGGGTCCTTTTTTTTTTTGATAATTTTTTTAACAAATAATTTCTTTGGCAATAATACCTCAACTTCTTTTATTAAACTGGTAATTGTTAATTAAATTTGGGGATTAACCTTACTTTTACTATATTATAAATGTTTAATTTCCCTTAAAAAAAAGTTTAATTCACCCAAAAATAATGTAAC